CAGTCCACACTGTGATGAATGTCTCAGCGTAAAACAAACATGTGGCATGAATAAAATCTAAACGGTATTTTCAGCCTACAGCTCAGCAGTCGCCAAGTGACTGAACGGAAAGGACACCAATATGCAATTAAAAAGTGTTTATTGCTGAAGGGACACAATAAACATGACACAGTAGTTACAAAGAGCTTGAGTGTTTTCAATTAAGGCAAAAAGCATTTAGTTTGAAAAGAGATTTATAAGCAAAGTTATTAAAACAAACATATGAAACAGCTGGAAAAGGAAAAGACTGAAAGAGACGAGCTGCTCCTGCTCTGACTGTAAGAGAACAGGCTCAAAAAACCCCTCTCATCAACTCTGCAGCACCCCCTGGTGTAAGGATGCAATCACCTGCAGTCATTTTACATTCAAAAACAATTTGTTTTTTGTTTTTTTTTACATCAAAACGCAAAATCAGGAGGCCACGTTCATTTAAAAGCCACCAAACCACCAAATACTGTTCATTAAAAACCACCCAAAACTATCACAGGAACAACAAATGTTCAGATGAAAAGATTTTTTTCAAATCCCGAGAAAGTTTGATTAAATGTTCTTTATTTTTACACAGATCCAAGTCATTTATTAATAGCTTCAATGTCTTCTTCAGTTTAAGTAATTTCCCATGGCTCTGTGAGGTTGACAAGCTAGAACAGAGTTACATTTGCAAAAAAAAAAGGTCTCAATATGTCCTGAAATATTCTGTACACACACCATTGCCCCACTCAGCCCTACCACTTAGGGTACGGTTGCCATATGTATACTAGCGCTAGAAAGTACGAAGGGCTTAGTCTCCAAAATAAATGAGACGCCCATAAAAAAGATTTCTGCTCTATTCAGTTTCTAATGCACTTTCTATTGTAGGGGTGTGTTATCTGACAAGACGTCCATGTGGGAAGTCTTCCTTCCTCCAAACTGCTCTGCTCTGGGAGGCCTCCTCCGAGCAGAGTTAAGAGCACTGGAGCTCATGAGTGGGACCCAATCAATGTCGTAGTCACGTGAGGACATAGGGATGAGGAGACATGAAATAAGAGATGTGAAATGTACCTACACACTAGCTGTCGAGCCAAATTTAAAAAACACACCAACAAACTTATCACATCTCCATCCAGATAGCTTTACCAGTGTCTACACAGCAATACATGTGCAAAACAGAGGGCATAACAATACCATAAGAAGGTAAAACACTGGTGTAATACTCACTCTCGGGTCCCACACAGGCAAATTTAAATTACTATCCTCAGGCTGTTTCAAAAGCACTGGATTCGGCCACTCCCTGCAGGGGGAAGGTAATGAATGCAGTAAATAAATATATTTGGGCTGTGAGACGCTGCCAAAAAGCAGAAGACGATAAGTTGCAGAATCTCACCATTTAGAGAAAACCAAGAAGAACTTGTGGACAAGTGTGGCAGCCACAGCGTTGGGGTAGAGCTGGCAGGTCCTGGCTACCAACATAGCCCATGACACTCCACCCAGAAAGCCCAGCATGTTGGAGTAGATTCCTCGACCTGCAGCCACAGGAAAGGTTACAGGTTATTAAGAGCATCACTAACCACTCT